GTGTGTGTGTGTGTGTGTGTGTGTGTTCGCAGTAATTACTCACTTTAGCATATTAAAAGTAATTTTTTACCATATTTTTTTCATTTAACTTTTCTTGGATTAAGTTTCTTTACCGATGATTTAGGATGATCGATGGTTTTGTCATCCCCAGTGAATAAAAGAAAATTTGAAAAATACAATGACATTAAAACTAAACCTACAAAAAAAAAAAAAAAAAGACGGCGAAGAAAGCATAAACTTTGAAGATAGCAAAAATGAGTGAAACATCGGGAAAACGTATCTATAATCTTGACCCATTAGTAAAAAATTCAAAAAATACAAATGTTTGTAAACAAGAACATTTAAATATATAGATCTTATCAAAATACTTTCGTGATCTTAAATCATACATGCATACATATATATATATATATATATATATATATATATATATATATATATGAAGAAATATAGTTTTAAGGTGTGCTATATTTATGGGATAAAGTGCTCAATATCAGAGATAGAGCATATGTAACTATACATGTAAAAGTGAACATTGAAATCAACACTCAGAGGTAACAGGCTGTTTCATGCTAGACGTAATTATCAGGCCGCGAATGTTAAATTTTTCCTCGACTATTTATATATATGGGTCAGTGGTGCATTGTGGATAATCTATTCTGGCGGTTATTTTTGGAAATGTTTTTTTTTTTTTGTTTATTTATTTGTTTGGGTTAATTTATTTTGTTTGTTTTTCATTCTCATTCTGTATTATTTATTCTTTTCGGTTTTTGATGTTTTATTAACGATTAAAAAAAAAATTGATAGGAATTTGCTTAGGTTACTTATTTTATAGTTTGTTTTGGTCTGGGAAGATAAAGCTATTTATTCGTCTAATGTTTAGACTGCTTGCCGTAGTCTATTCTGTTATTTTGGCGGGGGCAGTTTTTAATTTATTTATTTATTTGTATCGCTTATTTTTATTTGTTTTTGCTTATTTATGCTTATTTTTATTAGTTCTAACGGTTATTTTAGAGGGGGCGATTTGTTACTTTGTTCATTTATTTATTTGGATTAATTTTTATTTGTTTCTTATTTATTTACTTATTTTGTGTATTTTTATTTACGCCATTTGGTTTTCGATTTTTGAGTGGCGTAGTAATGTCTTTTTTCCGAAGAAGAAAAATTCTTCTAAGTTTTTATAACACTAATGGACTATACTTTGAATAATAAGCATGTATTTAGCTCTAAGATGAAATGATGACCTCTCTTCCTGATCCAGTTTTCCTCTCTAAACTTCCCTCTTTTTTAGACTTATTCACCGTTATCTTAATGGCCCTTGAATGGACCCCGAAGATGGAAGCCAGAGAAAGAATGTTGGCACTATTGTTGAATGCCTGAATGATCTTTTTCCTCTTACCAATGCTCAGTTGAGAAGGCTTAATGGGACTGACACAAAATGCTTTTAACTTCTCCTATTTCTAGCTGAAATTCAAAGAGTTTTTCAGTGATTCTTACGACAAATGGTGTCAAGATGGCAAAAAGTCGTATTTGAAAACCTCGAAAAAAGAAACTCAATTAGTTTAGTGTTCTAGATTATTAAACATTTTGTGGGATGGACACTTATCGCATGCTGTTACATGAATTTGAATAATTTTTCTGTTACACCGACACACACACACACACACACACACACACACATATATATATATATATATATATATATATATATATAATTATTTATTTAAAATATCATTCCAACACGCTACATAAGAGTTCTCATGTTTCAAAACAAGAGCCGAAAACATCAATATAATTATTTGAATTAAATTGAATTAAAGTACTAAGCTCTAAATAATAAATAATTATATTTATGCTCTACTTATGTATCGAGCACTATTTTTTTAAAATAATAACAAAAATACTAAAGAACTTTGGATTATTTACCTAACGAGTTCTTTCCTATTTTCCATATTTTCCCACACACACACACACACACACACACACACACACACACACACACACATATATATATATATATATATATATATATATATATATATATATATATATATAGTTGTATATTTAGGCAACGATCCTTCGTTTATGCATGTTTCATTAAAAACAACAGACAAGGTACTACAGTTAAGCTTTTTATTTAATTTTTTTTTAATTTCGTACAGAAGAAAAAAATTAAATAAAAGGCTTAACCGTAGTACTCTCTGTCGTTTTTATGATATATATATATATATATATATATATATATATATATATATATATATATATATATATCCAGGGAGAAAATAAATTAAAAAAACATGTATTGTGGATTTTAAAATCAGGCTAATGCACCATTTAATAACAGATGTTCTTCGGTTATCTAACCTCTGTTTTTATATGACTCGCTTCAAAAACACACATCATCGGTACTTTCACCGTTTTATTTTGGAAGTTTCCCATTTCTCGTATTTACAGTTAGCAAGGCAACGACATATAAATAACTGCATTGTTTGCCGGTGTTTGAAACTGTTCAATGTTTAGTTGCTCTTTGCTACTTAAAAACTTGAGATTTAGAATGTTTATTTTCTATGTTGGAAGTTATCATCCGTCTTTAAAAAGTGACACTATACAATCTTCTTATTTTCATTTTGTCTCATTTAGTCTTCTGCTATAAGTTTAATATTTATTATCGAGATGTTTAGCATTGCAGTGGTTCAGTGATCTGTGTTTTCTTTTATTGTTAGAAAATCAAAATTTATACCGACGACTGAAAGATATGAATTTGAAAAGGTAGCATGCATTCGTCGATTTGGGGATTTCTGATCATCATATCATCTGTAGCAGATAAAAGAAGAGGTGGACAAGTATCGATCAGGTGAGCTGATCGATATGCTTGTTAGAAATGATTTCTTTTCGAAGAAGGCAAAGGAGGAAAGACTTACATTTGGAAAAGTGAGCACGATCATCAGCGCACTTGTTTTCTGTGTCGAAACAGAATCAGAGACAGGAACAATTGGATGGCGGAGAAAAAAAATATTGATTTTTATTTCATTCAACCTTCATGTTAGGTGCTTTGCCAAAGCCACGGAGGGGAGAAGAGGATGGAAATTTGGAGATGGAGAATTAGAGAGTGAAAATGAGAGTAGCAAGAAACTCGTGAGAGGGTGACAGAGAGGTAGGGAAAATAGAAAGAAAGATAGAGAACAAAAAAGAACGGAATATATAAGTGAGTAAAAGGCTGAAAATGACATTACACAATTGAGAGAGAGAGAGAGGGGGGAGATAGAGAAAGAAAGGGAGATAGTGGGAGAAAGAAAGGAAGGTTAGATGACTTAGATAAAATATATATCTAGATATTTATACAAACACATCTCACATTTTTGTGCTTGTCTATCTCAATATCTACATCGATAGAAATTAATAGATTACATGTACTTCAGCAGTGTAATATAATATAAACACACAAACATAAAGAGAGGGATAAACTTAGCTAGCGATATAGAGAAATAAACAGGAAAAGAATGAAACAGAAAGAGCGGGAGTAAAATGTACAAAGTTACATATGATAGACATAGAGAAAAGAATCTATCTATCTATCTAACTATCTATCTTAATCTGTTCATATGTACGTATGTATGTATGTATGTATGTATGTATCTATCTATCTAAATACTCTTCGCCTGTAAATATAGCAAATTCCGAACAATTTGTTTTTTTATATATATATATATATATATATATATATATATATATATATATATATATATATATATATGTGTGTGTGTGTATGTGTGTGTGTATATATGTATGTAAGTATGCATGTATGTATCTATGTTTGAAATAATATACCAAAACAGTTTTTTAATAAAAAATCCGTTGATTCCGTAGAATATATATATATATATGTATGCGTGTGAGTATATGTATATATATATATATATATATATATATATATATATATGTGTGTGTGTGTGTGTGTGTGTGTGTGTGTGTGTGTGTGTGTGTGTGTGTGTGTGTGTGTGTGTGTGTGTGTGTGTGTGTCTGTGAGTGTGTTTCTACAAACATATCTTTTTGCTTTGGGTTTGTCTATTTTCATAGAAGCCAATACAAAATAAATAAAAAATGGAGAAGATGATGGTGCGAACAACGATAGACTATTGTTTTGGATCACACCTAAAGTTTGGTTAGCAGAGGAACGTCACTATAAATGGCAAAGAGATATCGTCTCTAAAAATGAAACACAACAGCCTTTAGTAGAAGATGCAGTTGATAATTGTACCAAGTTCAATTTGATTGCAACTAAAAAAAAAATAACATATGATTACTGAATCTAACTCTAAAGTGCTTTTGAGGAAGCGGTAGATATATTTACATCTTAAAATCCCTGTTCCACCATTTTTCTAAAATGGGGCAACACATGCAGACTCCAGTGCTTCTGCTTCTCGTTTAACTTCGACATTATCGTCAGGGTCAGTACTAACGCTAACAGGTTCTGAACATGGTGGTCAACCCCAGATTCGAGGCCGCTCTTGCAGAACTGTGTTCCTTCCCGCAAAACTCACGCGAGCCTGGAGTGGCTAACACGGAATTTTCAAGATTATGTGACCACCTGAATCATCTAATTTAAACCCTCTGGATTAGAACGGCTGCGGCAACGTCGAGAGAGAGAGAGAGAGAGAGGGAGAGAGAGAGAGGGAGAGAGAGAGGGAGAGAGAGAGAGGGAGAGAGAGAGAATGAGAGAGAGAGAGAGAATGAGAGAGAGACCAGGTATATATATATATATATATATATATATATATATATATATATTAATTCTAACGTTATTTTTAGCCGATGCGCGTATTTGAGTAGACGCTCAGTTTTTAATTTATTGCGTCTGCTGGCCTGCGCACACCAGAAAACTAAATAAGCTAAATATGCCCTCCGGTAGGATTTGAACCTGTGACCCCTTTTGCCTATTCTCTTTGTGGTTTCTGGTAAGTGGAAGAGAAAATGAACACTGGAAGAAAATTCATGGATTGTCAGAGAGAGAGAGGGAGAGAGAGAGAGAGAGAGGGAGAGAGAGATAGGGAGAGAGCAGTTAAAGACGATGAGATAGAAGGAAAATGGAAAAGGTTGTTAACAGATACACCAAAGAAGAAGAAGATATGGAAGGAAAAGGAAAGGTGTGTCAATGCAAATAAAAAGAGAGGAAAGGCAACTAGAAGCTAGAAGAAATGAGAGGGAGAGATGAGAAAAAGAAAGATGTATAAAAATAAGGAGATAGAGAGCGATAGCAGAGAGAAAGAGAGGCCAGTGCAGATAAAATAAGAAAAAGAAATGATAGGGAGATATGAAAAAAAAAAGAAAGAAATGTATTAAAATCACGAATATAGAGCCATAGGGTACAGAAAAAAAGAACAAAGAAAAGAAAGAAAAAATGAAGAAATAAGCCGAAGAGAAAGGAAAAGAATATGGTCTTCTATGCAGAAAGTGCTTTCTTATTTGGTAATCTGACAAAATATGATCTTCTTCAGTAGCCGACCTAAAACAACCATATTTTTCCGACTTGATCTTATGCCAGACCAAATCCAGAGAAAGTGAATAGCGAAAACGATATGAAGTAATAAGAGCAGAAAAGAGAACACAAGACCGAAAATTTAGAATCCAGAAGCAAGAACGCAAATGAGAAGCGAAGGTGGAAGAAAAGGTAGGTGGCAAAGTTTCAAATTCACGGATAAAGTTGTTCAAATTCTCATTGTATTGTACTTGAAAAAAAAATCATCAACACTTGAGATATGCAAAATACCTGATATTTTCACAGGAACATTCAAAGACGAGGAAAGAGCGACACCTAAAAACTGGGCGACATTTATCGATGACTGTTTATTTCCAAAGAGATCTATATGCCTCGTAGCAATTTTACAAGAGCGTAAATGTACAACAAAGTAGAATGATATTTCAAAGAAATAGAGCAAGAGAGAGGGATAGAGAGAAAGAGAGAGAGAGAGAGAGAGAGACGAGCAAATTTGCATCACAAAACAGTCGTCTTAATTTCCAATAAAAATGAAGGCGTTATTAATTAGTGTCAGTAATTGTGCTACTAAAGAAAGAATCAAATTGTGATCTCTCATTATCTCTCTCCCTCTCTCTCTCTCTCTCTATATATATATATATATATATATATATATGGGTGTGAGATAGATAGATAGATAGATAGATAGATAGATAGATAGATAGATAGGGAAAGAGTGCGATAGTGAGTGGGAGAGAAATTGATTGTGATACATAAATGCATATATACATCAACATTGCATGATCATTGTCAGTATCACGGCTGAAGCGATTATAAAACTACCGTTGAGAACACAACTAAATGGGTTGACTAATTATCGGTCTTCAATGTTCAGTTGGGGAAGCACATTAAATATGTTCACAACTAAAATAAATGTAAATAAAAATAATATTAGAGACTCAGCAGTAGAAACAGATTACATTTAGACCCCAAAACCATTTCTTCTGATTACTGAGGGAAGTTTAGTTAGACAATATATAAAATCTCAAGCACTCTCAAATGGTTATACCAAAGTGACCTGCTGAATACTGTGAAAGGATCTTTGGTTAAAGTCGGATTATTTGCTTCTACTTACAATTCCGCCTTCTTTTTTAAAAATATTACTTGCGTGTATGTACATTTTTAAAATATCCGTATTTGAAGCTCTAATAATTTTTTGTACTCACCCACCCACCCATAGCCGTCTCTTCTACTCCAATATCTTCATACCTCGCACCTCTCGCTTGTGGAACACCCTTCCCAATTACTGTTTCCCTGAAAGCTATAATCTCCAATTATTCAAATGTAATGTCAATCGAGGCCTCCAGTTACCTTGATCTACCCACTATCCTTCTCCTCATCCTTTCTTCTATCACTCCTATCTGCTCTCGCTCCAAATCTTCTGCAACCCCCTGCATCCTAGTGGCTTCACGCCTTGCTCGGGGCGTAATGCTTAATATATATATATATATATATATATATATATATATATATTACTGCCCTTATTTTTTACGACTTTCAGTATTAGAAACAGTGGTCTATGATAGTTCTCTATATTAACTGAAATGAAGTCGCCTCTATCTTTTTCGAAACAATTTATATTTACTACATACACAATGTCTTTTCTCTCTGTCGGCCATATTGCGTAAGTGAACCTAAAAATTTTAAAAACTTCTTTCGGTTATTATTTGAATAACCTATCATTAACCCTTTGAGCCCTACAACAGATGGTAGAGAAAAATGACGTAATACACAGACAGCGATTGAACAGTAGTAGACATAAATAACTTAATGCCCAGCCAAAGGTTGAACAGTGGGTAAACACTTGCGACGTGTTTTGCTATTGGTTATCTTATTTAGAGAGAGCCAATCAGAAAAGCCGTAATATTCTGATGTCATCGAACGTTATACCAACATGTCTCCGCGCCTATTCATTGTGTTTTGTGCATTTGTTTTGGATAAAAAAATTGGGGTTTTTTGGTTTTTTCTTTTTACCACGAAACGTATACTCTCTACTTGGACTGCCAGAGAAGCAATCAGAAAGTTATATTTTTTGTAACTATTTTTATATCTACCGTGAAACATTACATACCAATTATTCGCAAATTTTAACTCAGTAGCTCAGCAGAAGGGTTAAAATTATTCAGGAACGCTGGGTTCAAAGAGTTAAATTTGTTCGGTTCTTTAGTTACGGTATGCTCAACACCAAACCACGTTACTCTCAATTTGAACAACATTTTACTTGTATTCAACGGATAATGTCAAGAAAAGCAGAACCAATCATATTTCGCGTCAGGATGAATTTATGGTCAAAACTTTAAAGGACCCGTATGTATTTATAGTCATATAGTCACGAAACTCTTTCAGTTTGATGTCGTGGTCAGAAAGGATTCTCTTCTGTGGATCATCAGAAAAGGAAGGCGTATGTAACTTTAGATTAAGCATTTCTTTGAAGATCTGAACTTAAATACTGAATTCTTAAATGAGGCGCCTATGTCTTGGTTCTTTAATCCTTCGTACTGTCGGCAAAGTGCGTGTCACAATAGATTTTGACGTGAGAGGAGTGACTCTCATGTTCGAGTATAACTGGTTGCTCACGAAATCAGAAGAGCAAATACAGTACACCCTAAAAATTATGAGACGGCATTGGAGACTACCCAACATCTATCAATAAGGCCGCTCTCTTAAAATAATAAACAAACCGTCATTAATAAATGCATTTTAAATTAAACCGCATTTTAATTTTTCTGTCCGCCCGTGTATCTGAAACCCCGCCACACTAGAGCCACACTTTTCTACCTACACATATGCCCTTTTGGAATCGGGATGAATCCGGGATTGAAAATCCGCTCTACACCTGGTGCTTGAACATCCAGCATTGGGATTTGTCTCCGGATAACGAGGGAACAGTTAAAAATTAAAATTTAAAAATAACTGGAAAAAAATAATGGTTTTAAAAGTTTTTTTTTAAGTTATATTGAGTTTAAAGTAACACAAAACTTTGAATTTAATGTTTTCGGAGTTTCAATCAGTTTAAAATATCTGCAAAATTGAAAAATATCAATTCTATTTCTTCAAAATGCCAAGGAATCAAAGTTGAAGTGAGAGGTTTCGTGACGTGAGGTTTGGAAGTTTCGCAGAGTTTGTGATTTGAAGAAATCCATTTTCCGTCTGAACTGGAATTTCGGCCCAAATCGGAATCTAAATAAAAGATTATATGAACACAAACGGACATATTACAAGATAATACACCAAATGTTTTGATTGCCCACCGTAATGATACTGACCACAGATTTGAAAAAAATGATACTCTGATCAAAGGAGAAAATAATTCACTATAAGATAAATGCCTAAAGATTGCCTCAAGTGCAAGGTCATCCACAGTAAATTTGCGTCTTGGCTCTTACATTTCACCATTCTTGGCTAATCTTCTAATATCACAGTATGGAATACCTATTTACAAAAGTGAGGGAAAGAAAAAGAAAAAAGGCTCTAAATGAATTCGGCTGATATAAAAAAAAGAAAATAAATAAATTCCCGGCATCCCTATGCCGTATGCATGTGTAGTCCTATCAACGTGTTAAATTTAGTCCGATGAAGTCCCAAAGGACAAAATGCATCACAAGTAGAGTTTTTCCACTTTGTCATACAATTTTCCCAATACTTTTTTGATCTATAATAATATATCGTTATCTCATATATATATATATATATATATATATATATATATATATATATATATATATATATATATATAAAGTTTCAAATTGAAAATTATAATGTTTTTTTTTTTTTTTTTATATATATATATATATATATATATATATATAGACATGTTGTTAAGATAAATATGAGCATGTCGAGACATAGAGATATTCAATTAATTAGGTACTTATATGTAGGTAAAGATTGAGAGAGACATAGAAAAGCAATTGATTGGTTTCTTTCTTTTTCACGGCTTATCAATAATTTGTGGCTTATTTAAAGATGAAACATAATCTGGATTGTAAATATAATTCTTTTTTGTATTAACATTTTTTGCGAGGTACAAATGATACAAATTTTATTATTTAACCTATAGCTGCGGGTAAAAAGATGGGTTCGCACCTTTTTCAAGGGTTATTTGGTCGTAAGTGAAAATAACGAACTCAGCCCACCGATTTCTTTTTATTCAAAGTCGCTATTCATTACAGCAAACTCACGTAGAGGAAGTCATTAATATATAGTGATATGTAGATAGGAAATGTATATAGAAAAGTAAGGTATACACATGAATAAAGATAGGAACATAGATATTTATCTTCTTTAATATTTCATTAAGATCGTCAAGGAAGAGGATTTCTTTTTAAGGCCAAATTCTATATGATTAAAAGCGTCGAAATTTTACCACGTTTTTTTCTGCGCTGAAAAGTAAGTGAATATGTCTTATACAAAAGCAAAATTCAGTAGCGTCTCTACTGTAAAAACATGCTTAAAATATGTGCCTCGCAAATCATTGCTCCCGATTTCAATCCTTACATGTTTCCACATGATATCTTTATTTATACAAACAGCTCTCTCTCCTTTTTTTTATCCTAATCCTTCTTCATGAAAATACAAATTGAAAGCCTGAATGAAATTGATCAGACTAACATTGATCGATTGGGCAAAATTAAATATATAGATAGTTAATTTTACCCTGTACAAGGCTCGGGGGTCACTCGAGGTAGAGGTTTATATTAAGGGTTAGTTTATACGGATAAAAAGGAGGGAGATAACTGTTAACCCTTGACTTAAACAAGTTAAGATTGAAGTAATCGGAGAAATATCCTCTTGGGTGTCGGTCCTACAGAGTAGTTTTTTGATAGATGAAGCTGTTCGAGAAGAACTTACTTCTTCACCGATGGAATACGATCGGAATGTGTGTGTGGGGGGGTGCTATAATTTAAGTGACATAGCTGGTTCTATGTGTGAAGGTCGGACCTGGTGGTACCAAGGAATGTAGTTTGTCT